GTGCACCACTCGGGCCTCAAGACCGGGGAAGCTGGTAACGACGGCATCATCATTGGTATCTCGAGTGTGCAGCAGCTCGAGGATAACCTCAACCAGCTTGAAAAGGGTCCCCTTCCCAAGGAGGTGGTTGATGCGCTCGATCAGGCATGGGCTATTTCCAAGGCGGATACGACCAACTACTGGCACCTGGACCTCGAGTACAAGTACAACACCCGGGAGAAACTGTTCGGCGAGGGGGCCAAGTGATCGGGCTCAAGTCTGATGAGTGGGCAGAATTCTGATGCGAGGTTGCAAGAACTGCCGTGGTAAATGCGGGCAAAGTTTGATTCTTTGTAGTCTTTGTAGTATAAACGGGCAAATGGTCGTATCAGATGTCAAAAATCGAGGCACATGAATATACCCTGTTCATGAAGCGATCTCTGGCGCGGGATGTGAGGGTGTGCTTTTGTGGGTGTGGCAGCTGGGACCAATGCCAGACTTTCCAGTCATGCGACGCCATGCGTGATGGCGTCAGGCTGGAGGATGGAACATGAGCCGAGAAGGAGTGCCGTTTTGAGGCCCTCTCACCCTCTTTGCCCTCCGTCGGTTGTTGGTAAGTGTGGTAAAGTGGTTCAAGTTGTATGCATACCGCCGCAGTGGTGCAGCTATGATAGCCGGGCAAACGCTAAGACATGTTAGAGGCTGACCTCGCCAGAGTTATCAGACGCAGGTGACAGGCTTGTCGTTCTGCTTCTGACCGCAACTTGTGACGCGCGCGAGAATTGGCGGAAGGGTGTGGTATCTGTGTACTTGATTTGGTACAATGGTAGGGCAGAGGCGACGGCGCGCAAGATACTAGTGGCGACCAGACGAGATGTCTGACCTCTCGTTCGGATACCTACCATAAGGTGCCTAATATTATCAAGTACGGACCTTGGTGTAGGAGCGATAGCGACGGAGAGGCTGCGTAAGTTTGGAGGGCTGAGTGTTGGTGGTGTTGCGTGTGCAGCATTGCAGGAGACCGAGGAGAGTGGGGGGAAAAGATGGGGGGAAGACCCCTTCCGCGCGAACCGCTCATGCCCGCCAAGTGGAAAGCAGCAAGTCAGCCAAGTTAGCTGTGTCTCGGCGGCGTAGGGATGGTCCTATCAAAAGTCACCTTGCTGGGTCATGGATATGTCACTCGTCACCACGACGGGGCGACGAAAATACATCGTGAGTACGGGATGCGATGCTAAGGAGACAGCAAGGATCCGTACGCACCCCATTGTAAAGCGAAAGTGCCTGCTGCGGTACCGTAGGTAATCCATTCCAACAATCCCGTGTGCCCGTCCGCCGCATCTTCCTGCATCCCGTCCCGAGGCCTGGGTTCCAAGTCCAGGGCATTTCCATTTGGCAACTTCCATGCGCCAGTTTAGTCTCCACTCTCCACTCCTACCTTACCAAAGCAAAAAAGTGTCCAACTGTACACATCCATTCCCGACCCAAAAGAGTCCGGCAGCAAGCACAAGCACTCGACTCGCATACTGCGTCAACTGCATACCCCTTCCCTTCCTTACTCGAGCCAACTTGCAGCTTTCTGCCTGTGCAGCAATTGGTTTCCCCATTCAAGTCACTCCTTCACTTGATTAGCCTTTCTCTGTGTACCTTACCGTTACCCTTTCTCGGTCTCTCTTATCTCTTTCTCTCAGATTCTCGCTATTATCTCTTGTTGTCCCCCCCCCCCCTTCCCATTCTTACGTTCCTTTTATCCCTTCTTATGCCTCCCAGACTCAATACAGGGCCGGATGGAACCCTCAACCTCCCCCATTTGCGACACGATCATTCCCACAACCCTCCCTTGAGCGCAACCACATGCGATTCCAACATTTCAGATTATATCGGTAGTGGTACCAGCAGCCCTGGAGTGAGCCCCGGGCTCGACCAGCGCCTGGCCGAATTTGATGCATTGCGATCCGCCGACGACGACTACTTCAAACACGATTACGACGACCAAGACGACGACATGGACAGCCAACGTCCCCCCCTCCTTCGAAACCACAACTCCCGCTCCGGGCAGCCTCTCCTAAACGCAAAGGACGACGAAGATGACGACCACCGCGGCAGGAGCTATTCCACTCGCTCTCGAGGAGCCAGCCCCTTGCTAACCCCGAGTCGACCGGCCTTCTCTCGAGGTTCGACCATGCGAGCCCACTCTCCCTCGACAATCACCGCGAACGCTCGAAGGAAATACATTATTGCGGCTTTCGTTCTACTTATCAGCTTAGTCTCCTTCGTCATCCAGACCGAGTTGTCGGCATACATCCAACAGGAACTGCACTGGGACAAGGCTTACTGCATGCTCTACCTAACCCACGGCTCCTGGGTGATGCTGTGGCCTGTCCAGCTGCTGTTCCTGCGATTCAATAAGCGCAAAGTCTCTTGGGCATCCTTCTGGCGACGACACACTGAGCTGCTTCACACCACCGCCATCATGGTCCAGAGACAGGACCTCGACTATGCGCGACCCAGCCCGCAGCCCCGCGTCTCCCCGTGGAGTTATATCGTCAAGACCACGGCCTTCGTTACGTCTGCTCTGACTATTGGTGGCTTGAGCTGGTATGTCGCTGTCAACTTGACAACTCCCTCCGACTTGACGGCCATCTATAACTGCTCCGCTTTCTTCGCCTACGTCTTCTCTGTTCCGCTGCTGAAGGAGCCTCTACGCCTGGACAAGTCTCTTGCTGTCATTGTGGCCATTGCTGGTGTCTTGATCGTCGCATACGGTGACACTAGTCCCGGCGAGGACGATGCCGCTCACCAGCAGGCGGCCGGGAACCGTGTCACTGGCAACCTGATCATCGGTGTTGGATCCGTCCTCTACGGTCTCTACGAGGTCCTTTACAAGCGATATGCTTGCCCACCTGAAGGCTGTAGCCCTAATCGCGGCATGATCTTCGCCAACACGTTTGGTTCTTGCATCGGTCTCTTCACGCTTACGGTGCTGTGGATTCCGCTTCCCATTCTGCACTGGACTGGTATCGAGAAATTCGACTTGCCGACGGGATACACGGCTTGGATGCTTTTCTGCAGTGTCGTTATGAATGCGACTTTTGCCGGCAGCTTCCTAGTGCTGATCAGTCTGACAAGCCCTGTCTTGTCCAGTGTTGCCAGTCTGTTGACGATCTTCATCGTTGCCATTACCGACTGGTTGCGCACTGGCGAGCCGCTCAGCGCTGCAGCTCTTATCGGCGGTGTCATGATTATGATCGCATTCGGCATGTTGAGCTGGAGTACATGGCGAGAGATGACCGAAGCCGAAGCGCACAAGGCAGTCGACCTCACCGATAGCGGCGATGATAGTGAAAGGGAGCGCGAGGACTAGGCGATTGCATAACTGGTGTCGGCGCAACACCAAACGGCGTTTGGGGAAACCCGGGTTTTATCTTTTTCTGTCTTCAACCTGGGTGTTGGCATCATTACATTGGGGTCGGCGGATAACTCTGGGCATTGGATTACAACAGCATGATCGTGACAGATTTTGAACTGTCGCAGCGGACGGAAGGAGGATTAGAAATGGCTACGGGCATTGGTTTACTGTTTGATTCACTGCATCCGGGGAGCTTGGCCCCGCTGTCTGCTATTCGCTTCGTTTTCTTGTCATTGTTTATTACTTTCTCTTCGGCATAGACGATATCGGTTTCGGGGTCCATGAGACACAGACCTCTTGTTAGAAAAGCAGCGAGATACAAGTTGTTGACAGCTGCTTGGTGGCCTTCCAAATGGGATGCGAATTTGCTGCGCTGCAGCTCAACTCCTCAAGACAAGCTTGTTTCTAACTCTTAATCTTCCTCGCAGTCCCATCGTTGTCGGCCGCTATCCTAATCTTCTAGATCCGTCATCGAGTCCCTCCATCCTCTTTCCCTCCCTACCGGCCCTTCCATAAGTCCCCGAATCCGTTATTCTCTTGGCATCCCGTAAAAGCCAGGTAAGCCACAAAAAGTTGTGTGAAAGACTTGCTTCAAAAAATTGGTTGATTTGAAACAGGGGGAAGGGCTCCACGTTGGGTATTAGACCAAGCTCCACGTAGGATCCTTGTAGTTGGCCACTCACGATAGTTCTAGGTCGGGGCGACGTACTGTCTGGCGAGATGTTGATCTTCTGCGCTTGACCCCTTATATGTCCGCCTGATAGCCCGAGGATGGGATATGATCGTTGTTTGCTCTTTTTGATGGAGAAGGTGAGTCGTGGATCAAAGCTCCCAGGTGTGGATAATTGGCAGCGAGGTGCCGAGGAACACCTAGAAATGGGATATATGTGGGTCTGAGTTGAGTCTATTTTCTTGAGTTGCCAAGTCTATTCAAATGTCACTTGTTGACAATGCTCAGCCTCTGTCTGTTTGCGCCTGGAGTTGCGATGAGACCTTTATGATATTAGGTAAGGTAACTCAGGTGGTCCAGAGAAGAACTGCGTAAGGATGTCACTCGGTCGCAGCGGGTAAGCCGCCTACCTCGGATCAGGTACCGGCTGCTTCGGTGTCGCGGACCGGCGCCGCACGGATGGGGAGAGTTGCTTGTGCAGATTTGACTTTCAACGGTCACCACGGGGAAGAGAGTATAGTCATTGGAAGAAGTTAATTGATCAGTCTTGTGTGAGATTCCCCAGGACCACGGATGCCAAAGCGGGCATCGGAGCTTTCGGCTGATAGAGATAGAGCTGGGAGAGAACGGTTGGGGTTTCGAGGCGTTGGTGTTTCGAGATGAGATTTGTAGGTGAGAAGATGGGATTGAGAGTTGACAGCACAGACGATAGTGTGATGTTTATGGAACGGCGCGTGTTGCGGAGGCTTTGAAGGCTTCGCTGAAGCTTGGTCTCATAAGCTCATTGGAGAGGGCACACATAAGCTTGGGACTCAATTTCTCATGCTGTAGAAAGAGAAAACCGAAAACTGGTTATTTCAAAAGACAAATTGAACGCAGACCAAGCGAACATCCGTTCTTCCAAACCCCAAAGCCCTGACTCCACGGTTGGATCCGTCAAGTTACTTACATCCATATTCCAGCGTGTACATTCACAATCAAGTAAAAATGCGCGAGTTGCGTTCTTTGGACGTGATCGAAATGTAGTTCAGAAGCGTTGTTTCCCGTGCCGCCCAAGTTTATAGCCGGCACCTCAGATATACGATTCGAAGAATAGTCGGTAGGCAGCGCTCCGAATCTCGAAGTGGGATCCGGGCTCTGAGACGGCGTTGTAGACTGATATTGATACGCGCCCGAGTTGGCGGGCTGATGATTGCTCTTGTAAGGCTCGTACGTAGGAGCCGGGGTCTGGGACTGCCATTCCGATGTTGCTCCTGGGGCGGGCACTGTTGAGTAGGTGTAAGGCTGATTCGTTCCGGCTACGGCTGGGCCACCGTTGTAGTTGTCATCGTCTTTGCTGGTCTTTTTGCGGTTGCGGAGTATAATCCATACGATTGCGGTGACGATCAGGCCCATGACTACGAGGCCGGCAATTGCGCCGCCAACGATGGCTCCGATAGGGGGACCATTCTCTCTTTGAGGGCTTGGAGCTGGGGTCGGCGTGTTTGAGCCTAAGGAGCAGTGCTTGACTCTAAGGGAGCAGTGGTGGCAGGTGTGGTTGATGAGATAGTCGACGCGGTTGATGAGCTGGAGGAAGTACTCGTAGTTGAGCTGCTGAAGGAGTCGACGAGGTAATGAACACCCGTAAACATGTTATTACCACAGTTGAAAGCCTCGAGTGTAATGATGAAATCGCCAGTTATAAACCTTATGCCGGTTGCACAGAACGGAAACTTGATATCAGTGCTGGTTTGAACGAATGTTAGTGGCTATCTTGGAAGGATGTGCTAGTAGAAGGGATATGAGGAGAAGGGAGAAACGAACCAACAAGTCGTCGAGGACCCCTGACTATTTTGCGAGCAAATGGGGCTATCGTAGTCTAGACATGATGCCCAGGGAGATGATCCACAGCCGAAGATGTTGCTTCTGGTAGTGCAGGGTAGATCTCCGCAGTTCCAGGTATCACCATCTGTTGACAAGCACATTAATGAGTGAGTCAAAGACAAGATGGGAGGATAGTTGGAAGGGAAGTGATGGAATGACAAGTCCTATGACAGACTTACTCGTCTCGAAATAACCGCAATTTTGACTGCTGTCCCGCGGCTTCAGAGGTATCGCGGCGAAGCGCAGATGCGGAGGCATCGTCGGCGCCGCAGGCCACACGTCAGCCTCAGAAGTTTCTGTACCAAGCCTGGCCGAGTTTACTGGAGAATTTACGAAGCGGACATTTTTAAGTGCGAAAACCGCAGCCAGATACCCTGCGAATGGAAAAATAGCTGGAGCCGCAATCATGGTGATGACACAAGTGTGAAAATGACGCTTTTAGAGCTAAAGTCAAGTGGTGACAGGAAGGAGAGAAATTTGGATGTGTTATGGCCTTGCAGAGGAGAGAAACGTAGAGAGCACGTTGAGTGGGAATGGCGGAGGTTTTCTAACGCAGTAGCTTTGGAACTGGTTGAAGAGACGGTCGTTGAACATCGAAGCTCGGGAAACAAAGCCTGGGCAAAGGCATTCTTTGCAGCAAGAGAGAAGGCTGAAACTACCCTGGACAAGCCTGCAGAGCCACCAGCTGATGGCAGCTTAGACAAGATAAGACGGGAGAGCATCCTCCAGAAGTGAGCCAAATCCGAGAGGTTGGATCAAAACCCTGCGACAATGTCTTGATCAGAAGATACTCATTGGTTTGGCTAGAATTGGCTGTAGGCACGGCATTGATAGGAGCTGAAGACCAAGTGACGGGAAAGGAGGGTGCAATGTAAGGAGGCGACGGCGGCGGTATTAGCTTCTGAGGCGAACAAGGCAAGCCGATAACAAGACCACACACACAAGGGACTTCAAGATTCTTCGTCTGCCGGCCCCTAATAGAAAGGGGCATTGAAGCCAACTGCATTACCTTGAACTCAGAGCTAGCTGATACTCATGGTATTACGGAAAACTGCTTCTTGCTCACAGAAACTGCCTAGAACGCCTGAATTTACAAAAGATCTTATAAACATGATTAGACCCAAGGCGAAGTCCTTTACGTTGGAAAGAAAGCGATGGCAGGGCTATGAGTGAATGAGACATACATGAAGGTAGCACACGCCACCACCAGGCACCGATTAGTACATCTGATCCATGGGTAGACAGGAGACCAGAGATGATATTTGACGTTTCGTCAGTATTTGGACACATGCGCGGCGAGTGGGCAATGAGGCTGTAGCAATGTGGCGTGCTTCCATCCAGCACTAAGCGATTTTGCGGTGACGCCACTCTCGAATGGTTCAATAATAAGCAATGATAATACGAGCGCATCACGCTTCCAATAGTCAATCGGCATTTCTCGTCCTGGCTATGATTTTGAGTGACGAGGCCCTTGCATGACCGATGATAACATACCATATGAAGCAGACCTTCTCTACCCTATTCGTAAATAACCGAAGTCCGCGTGTAATAAATAGAGAATATGGGAATGCTCTCGGTGAGATATGGCAATGTATAACTGTTGGTATCCCTATCACAGGGTAGTTGGTTCGAACCGTGGGTTGACGAAGAGGTCAATTGATCTATATGAACTTCTGCGTAAGGTGTAAAAAGGAGGTTCCAACCGTAGGTTGGGTAGGCCGCGATTATCGTAAGTATGGTCTATAAGTGGCCCCTGCGCGGGCCCGCGGCCGCGAGGTCGAATTGGACTTCCAATCCGACAATAACCCCATTCTTAGTTTGACTCTCACTTGGGGTTCAAGTTGCGTGGAGCGCAAGCCCTCCATCCTAGACCTCTTTTCTTGAGTAACATGGCTAACGGGGCGGCAAATAACATGATGAGTGAAAAGATGCCAAAGCTCCATCCCAAGCCCGTGGCGTTTGCCAAGGGCTGCTGAGCCGCGATGGCAGCACCAGCTCCGATGCACCGTACAAGATTGTACGATGCCTGGACTGTTGCTGATGCTTTGGTGTTCAAATCCGTCAGAAGGGTGCCGCAAATCTGAAGGCAACGAGTTAGGAATCGTACAAGATGATGGTTGAGTCGCAAATCTGCACTGACCGTGAATATGCTCGAGGTTGTGGCGCCGCTGATGAATTGCATTACCAAAGGAATGGCAATATGCTAGTACGGTCAATAAGGCCCAGTATCCGAAATCTGCTAGTTTGGAGCATATGGCCCAGGTCTAGGGCCAGTCCGTGATGTACTACATACCGATTCTTGCATGAGACTCACTCCGTAGCCTGCGGTGGTCATTGAGCTTAGAGCAACTAGCATGTAGATCCCGGCGAGCCGTGCCTCTTCGATTGGAAAACCCGATATGTCGTCACCTCGGCGATATCGGCTGTTTCTTCCTTGCGTGACGGATACTCTCTGGATGTTTTTGTCTAGAAGTTTACCTGCGAACCCGTCAGTCCAGGCGAACTTCAAGTGGTGTTTTACACCCGTGGTGTGTCAATGTACTACGAACCTGTCGTATAAGATGCTAAAGCACCTCCTACCCCTGAAGGCAGGTAAATGAGTCCTGCCTCTAGATAATTCAACTTGTAGACATCAATGCACTGAGCTGACAGTGAGCTTTGCAATGTCATCTTGACGGCATAGGTTATAGAGCCTATCAGGATCACGCTCAAGTTGCTTTTGGAGAATAACATTGGGATGCACTTGAAAGGGTTGGGGATGTGGTATCGCCGCTTGCCGCCTCTCAGGCCTTGATCTTGTTCAAAGGCGTCGATCTTTCGGTGCCGGGTAAGAAAGTCAAATAGACTTTTATGAACTCCGTGGGTCTTCAGACTTCCATTTCCTACGACCCGGCGTTGCGTCTCTGGGAGAAGAGTTATGATGATGAGTAGGTAAATACCGGTCAGTATGACCAGAAACCAAAATATCCATCTCCAACTGAGCTTCTCCGTGAGTAGCCCGGCGATGACCGGACCAAAACTTGGAGCAGCGTTGGTACTTTGTCAATCTGGTCAGCAAAAACTTACAATGGCGTTGATCAATAATCAGAAGCCTAGCAGATGTTTCATCCAGGGTTTACCCACAAAACGAGCATAGATCCTACATAGGACCCGCGCTCATTGACTGTTGTTATGTCTGCAACAATCCCATATGCTGCGCCGTAGGAACCTGTGATCGACTCAGCCACGTGGTATTTCACTGGGTTGCCGCAGTGTCGTATACTAACCAGATGCTCCAGCGCTTTGTACCATACGTAAAATGAATAAAGCAGAGTACGAATTCTGCAGCGCCAACCCAATATTTGACGCAACGACGAGAGTGAACATGAGGATGTATGCAGGCCTTCGACCACCTTGATCGGCGATATCGCCCATGAAGGCTGGTGCGATACCTGCTATGATCAGGTATGAGGTAACGGTGAGATTGATGAGCGCAACGGAGACGTTGAGATCAAGAGCCATAGGGACTAAAGCTGGAAAGTAAATGTAACTGCTCAAGGTGGAGAGCATGGCGCCGAAGGAAGCAACATAGCTGATCCATTTCTTCTCACTAGTCGTGAATATTGAATATGGCTCTTCTGGTGCCACCTCGGCGAACGGTGCTATTTCTGTGTCGTCATTTGGGATTCGCTTGGCTGGCGTTTTCGATGACTCGGCGGCAGCCATCTTGATGGCCGTGAATTATGTAAAGACCGCTTCTTGTGGCTAATAGTGATTATGAATGGATTGGAAAAGTTCCAACTGACCCGGAATCGTATATTTTAGTCTCCTGGCCATGTTTTTCAGTGTTTCATCCAAAAGAAATATCAACTTAATAGTGGAGGTTGATCTCCGCTCAAACAACCACCATCACACTCATCTTGTTCAAAGAGAGCCGCTTTGGGCTATGAGGACTGACAAAGTCGGTAATTATACGTCAGGTAACAAGGAGAATGCCGGTTGGCATTACGTCAACGTGCTGCACAGCGATGGCACAGCGATGGCACAGCTCTCGAGACTCTACAAATGTTACCCTGGCAAACGTAACGCACAAGTCAATTGCATACAGTTTGAATCATGACGGTCCATTGAATAGAAAGAGCACGGTTTACTGTCTCCCCAAATTTTATATCGGTATCCTTTCTTCGAACTCCAAAAACCCGTGAAAGATCATCAAATGCTCCCCTCTTCCGAACGCAATTGCCGTCTTTGAAACAATCTTGACCACGGCATCAACCTCACTACGCCATGTGAGTGGTATAAAAAAGTGTCGCGTGAAATGATGCGCATCTGCTATGTTCCTGAGGCTAATTGAGCAAATCCATCCAGCCGTATCGAGGAAAAGCAGACTCGATTTAATACATCCAATTACAGATTGCAGAGATGTAGATGTGATATGTAAACTCTGCGTCAGAATCGCCTCCGTTGAAGGTGCAATCTTGGAAGCTTCGACGGCGATAATACTGCTGGTTTGCTCGGTCGCGCGGCGAAGGCCCCGGGCTAAGTAGCTAGAGCTTTTGCTGCTGAGCCATGGAGGACAACCCTTTGAAACTTGGATTTGGGGGCTCGGAGAGAGGTCGACGCTCTTGCAAACTCTTTTCAGATTACACCATTCATAGATGTGACAATAGTTGTCCTGAAAGGCGAGTAAATGGGAAGGACTCGATGGATGTCTCAACCACCAGGCTCCCTTGAGATCCTTCTCCTCTCCCATCACAGTGCCGTCAAGAGCAATCAACGCCGCACTTGAGTTTGTACAGACCAGCAGTGATTCGGCTTCTGTGCTCAAGATTATTTGAGATGTATCACTATCACCTCTGCGGTTGAGCAAATAAGTAACTTGTGCTCCGGGTCCCCTCCCCATGGAAGTGACTCTGGTGACAATGTGACGCCAAGTAGTATCGATACTGAGAAGCGTACACGTGTCTTCGTTCCAGTCTAATGATTTTATCTCTGCAAATGCATCGTGAATCCGGAGTTTCTCGACAATCTCGCCGGTGTTCAGATCACTGACATCAATTGTGCCATCCTGGCGCCCAACGAGTAACATGTTGTTGGCTGGCTCGATGGCCGTGATGCTTTCTCCCCACTGATACACATGAGAACGAGATGCTTTTATTTCCGGAAGGGGAATTTCTTCGCTGGAACATGAAGTCTCTAGGGGGTTGTCATCGTACCCGTCTTTGGCAAGTAGGACAATCGGCTCCCAGACGTTGCAGCATTGCCCCCGAATGTCGAAAAAACGGAGGTTATCTGCTGAAAATGCGATATCTTGAATCCTTAGTTGATCTCCTGGTAGTCGAATGTGGTATATCGGCTGCAAGGTCTCAAAGAGGAAAAGGTAGATGCCTCCGTCCTCTGCCGCACCTGCGAGAACCCTGCCATCTGAGCTAGTGGATAGAACAGATAGCAATGTTTGCAGATGATACTTGTTTGCTTGGTCTTGCGTCCATGGATTACAAGTTACCACGTCGCCGTCCATGTATGATATTGCTAGGAGCTCGACCTCAGCAATTGGATTGAACACCATGTCTAGGACTTGTGAGGTAGCGTAAGTATAGTCGATATAGTGTTTCTCAAAGTTGCCGACGCAGACAGAAGTATTCCAGTCCCAGATCGAGACTGAAGCATTTCTGTAAGACAACGCGGCAAGCCTGTGGTTCGAGTCAAGTCGTATCTGCATTGCTGGGGTCCATAAACCAAGTTCGTTATCGTTTTCATCCGACGAGTCTGAGTCCCAGGCCGAGGGAGCATGCAAAACTTTGCGCTCTTCTTCTTTCCCATCCTTGATATCGTAAATTACCAAAGAGTTACCATGAGGATTGGAAAGGATTATCATTTGTTCGTCATGGTCGAATGAAATTGATCCTGGAGTGAAGTCGATAGTTCGTGACCAAACGGGGGATAGCCTGATGGGTTCTTGAGACCAGTGGGTATCCCATATTTGTAAGTTTCGAGAACTACATGAAACTAGTACTGAAGAAGCTCGGTCGAAGGCAAGGAGACGAACCCTCTTCCCGTGATTCAATGTAGCAGCTGCATCGAATGCCCCCGACCCAGCGAGGTGGAATAGTCTGATCTCTCCGCTGGCAAGACCAACAGCCAGTAGGCGAGTACAGCAGGTAACTGCATAAGCATCTTCTGAGAATAGGTATCCCGTCAATCTGTCGTTCCAATCTTTTTCTCTCGGACCTGCAATTCGAAGTCGCTTGGTCGGCTTTGCGAAGAGCTGCCCAATCATTGACTTGGGGGGGCAGAAGTGTGGGATGAGGAAATAGATTGAAGATGGAGAGGTGAGAAGAATAGGATGGAATCCAGCGAGGATGCGGTAGATATCATTTGCCCATGTTGCGATAGTGTGGAACTCTATGCTGGTAGGAGACTGACATCTGGCCACGCGGCCCAGGTATGTCTTAAGTCTCTGGGCAGTGAGCTGCAAAGTCCACAGGTTCCCAGCTGTAGCTGTTCGTTGAATCCAGGTTAGGACGTTGGTAGTGAAAAACTTTGCTAGGAGGAGAAGCGAAGACCCAGCGGCCGAGGAGGCTTGAATGAGATGGTAAGGGAAGCTGAGTGCAGCATATTCTGATAGTGGGGAAAGGGAAGTCATCCTGGCCGCTGCGACTCCTCGATGCGTTCTTGGTGGCGCAAAATTCGAACTGCACAGCAGGCCGAGACATGTTTCAGTAATTTCTGAATGTGCTATCCCAGTATTGATCCAGAAGCCCTCGTCTCTTTGTTGGCTTAAGAAGGCTGATGTCGTTAGATGTGCGACGCGAATGTATGACTGACCGTCCACGACAACGAGGTGTCCCGTCATGCTCTCCAGCTCCCTTCCATTGGCTGCTAAAGTCTTCCCAATATCCAGCTTCACAGCCTCGGCTAGCTCGTTGATGTGAAGCGACTTTGGTGAACAAATCACCCACTTCAACACACATTCGGCCAGCTCGGCGCTAGGCGATTGGGATATCAAATCGAGTGTGCGGGAATAAAGCTCGTCCATCTGCGGCGGAATTTGTCGCAAAACATCTTGCTTGTCTTCTAAACTGTATGACTTCTCCAGACGGGCTATTGTGAGGGACGTCCATAAAAAATTGCCGTCCGCTTTTGTAAGAACATCGGCAACAAGAGTCTGTATGCCATCGTATTGATCGGCATCATATGTCTGAAGAAACATGGCTTCAACAAACACTTCGATGTCTCTAAGCGAACCCTCTTCGCCCGTGGTTATCTCCGAAAAATCCGTGCGTTCCAGTGTTAGATACCGCCTAACTTGCCCACCAGGTCTGCTGGTAACCAAGACTCTGATGGGTAACGTTTGTTCCATGTTGGACAGCATGGAAATCAAGCCAGGTAGGTCTTCGGAGGAGCATTCGTCAATCGCGTCTATAACCCAGAATTGAGGCCTGTCGAATTTTGCTTTGAAAATGCATTCGTTGAACAGAATTGCCCAGAGGAAATAGTGATCCTCAAACTTGATGGTTCTGTTGTCCTCGGCCATAGAAGCTAGAGTTTGGCGCACCTCAAAATTAGAGTCGGCCATTTGAAAAGCTAAGGATCTCATCAAAATGGCTAGAGTGGAGGAAGAATTTTCCTCGTGCCTGAAGAAGTAAAAGCTGCAGTCGAGGTTGCGAGATTGGAGATGTCGGATTACATGGCCGGCAGCGATAGTCTTCCCGGTCCCGGGGCGGCCATTGAGCCACAAAAGCCTAGACTTCAGATCTCTGGAAGGCTCTGACAACGGCTCTTTGTCGCCCCAATGACCGATTGGCCCATCAATCCATTTCTGGAATCTATCACTATCTGTCAACCACGTACAGGATCCGAGGTGCTGCTTCTCGTTTATAGCAAGAAGAACTGCGTCCGGCCGTTGATCGATACGCAGAAATGCAGCAATTTTTCTCATTTTGGATTTATGTTCCTGTTGGCTTTGTACTAAAGCTGAAGGAGTAAATATTGATTAGTTTGTCAGACACAGTAATTCGTGGCTCCAAGGATCGGCTCACTGACAGTCCCGATCTCTTCGACTATGGTATGAAAGGCTCGTTGTAGAGTCAAATAGTTCGGATTGCTTGGCGAATCGAATTTACACATTTGTCGATGATCGGCCTCAAGATACTGAACATGTTCTCTTGGTAACCCTGAGGAAGCCACAAGCTATTGTCAGAAAATGAACAAGGATGACGAATATGCGTAGCTGGACGTGAAAGCATTGCCTACCAAGGACGGCAGATTCCTTTTCGACAACAAAGGACGATGTGGGGCCGAAACTCATTGGCAAGCTCTCAAAGAAAGACCAGAGGTTAATGTTGTGGCAAATATGTCTGAACTCGTCGTTGATTTGCTGTGTTGAAGTATGTGAGATATTTGCTTTCGGGCACGTTGATGAGCCGATGCTTTGACTTACATCTAGTGTTCCACTGCCGGGAATCAAATCATCTAGAAACGCCTTTGAGCCGTACCCAGCCGACTGACGGAGCAATCTCGCGACACTTGCAGAATCAGCTCCGCGATGAGGTGTGCCTAAGAATAACATAGTATGGATTCTCTTCCCAATAGTTTCGTAATTCGGATCACGCGTGGCTATGAGGTACGCCTGGAGGATATCAGTACGTTGTTACCAGTTCGGGATATGGAGTTCCTCTCGGACATACCTTTTTGGCCACCAAGCCACCCATGCTATGAGATATGAACACAATCGGTGTCTAAGGTAGGCTAGTATTAGCCATGAGCGGTAGATAAATGTATGCAGGAGGCTGACTGACATCGCCATTCTTGCGAAGGCAAGGGGAGTTGTGAAGATCGGCAAGCAGCGCTTGTCCAAAGTCATGAACTGTTAACCGGCTGTCCTTCCGTGTTGTCCAGTCCGAGTTGTACCCAAAGCTATGAATGCGGACGTGTTTGAAGCCAGCCTCATTCGGCAGCCAGTCTTTAGGCCAAAACATGCCAATCTCGGCTGAATGACTCCATGTTTTCCTCGATCCTCCACCCAGACCGTGAATCTGAACCAGCGAATATCAGTTCTGCCCCATGGAGTCGTTCGATCTTTCTCGAAAACCTACGAACACAAAGTCGATTGCTGTCTCTGAGGGCTCATGAAGCAAGTTCAGACCGAGGGCTCCCTTGATATCAGCGGCAGAAAGTGATTGAATATTGCATGAGCTGTCGGATCTCGACGACCGGGAGAGACGCGTGCTAAGCTTCCGTAGCCGATGTTGTAGCGGGCCGAAGGATGGCGCACGAACTCGAGATTCATCACTTCCGAGATTGGGAGAGAGTGACGGCGGCTCAGCAGTGATACCAGCCAGCTGGTTCGACGAGAAAATCAGCTTCGAGCTACCGATGTCAAGCGGGGGATGGAAGACGGAAGCCAAGATACGAGCACGGCAATTTAGGGCGCACATACAGACGACGAAAGGCTTTTGTCAATCGACATGGCGCCAGTACCGACCATCAAGACTGCACGTAGAACCAGGATGCCGGAAAATTTAGCGATTAACGAGAGAAACAGAGAGTCGCGTCTCATGTTAGACTTCAAGATACAGCAATTGCGAGGATACCGGCGACTGGATAGTGTCTCTCTTGCCCCCACGTGATTGGGCTCGGGGGAGACACACGCGTAAGGAGCCGGGCGGCTACAGGATGGCGAGGATTGGACCTCTCTCTGGCCACTCCTTTCGTCAGCCACTACCCCGCGTTAGACCCCGAGCCGAACCTAACTAACAAGCGCTTCAACACCTTCACCAAGCATGGAGAGCGGATACCTAGACCAGGCAGAGCATGCAGGCGGAGACTGTGAGCTTGATGTCGCTGTTTTTGCTAGTATGTAACTTCTTTTCAACCTCGATAGGTCCGGGTTAGAAGTCAGTGTGCTCACGCCTTGATATCATAACAGAGCTTCCAACAGGCTGTAGTGTTCTCAAAGTGGCACCATCAGGCCATAGTCTTTGGGTGGCCACGGTTCAGATTGTGGTTCAGCTGGAAGATGGAACGATAAAAAAGTATTTCAAGAAGGTGATTAAGGGACTCCCATTTGGACCAAAGTAGTTCTCACTCTCGCTCAGGGTGCGCGTGGTGCAATTGGAATGGACATGATGAGAGGCACATTCGAAGCTGAACAGGCTCTATATACCTTTTCTCCAGGCCAGGTCCCGAAGCCTATCGGTTGGGGAACATACACAATCGATCCCGGAACGCACTTCTATCTCAGCCAGTTCGTGGAGATGAGAGAAGACCTCCCCAGCGCTCAGGATTGGGCGGCTTCTGTGCGGGAGCTCCATGTCAACAGCATGGGGAAGTGCTTAACCAGAAAATTCGGCTTCCATGTCAATACTTATCTTGCCAATGTTCCAGTCAACAACTCATGGAACTCTTCCTGGGAATCATTCTGGAGACAGCAGATGAAGGGCCTGTTCGACCAGGACGATCGCGTTTATGGCATGGACAATGAGTTGACAGCGCTCAAAATGATATTTCTCTACGAAGTGATCCCGAGATACCTTAGTCCACTCGAAAGAGAAGGGCGATCTGTCATCCCCTGCCTCATTCACTCTGATCTATGGCCTGGAAATATCAAGCCGAAGAAATCCTCAAGTGGGTTATGCATGTTTGACGCCTGCGCATACTGGGGACACAACGAGGGTCAGTAATAAGATTTCTCGAGGCTACAGAGATCCTATGGTTTCATTGGTTAACTCTGAGGGATTTTCTAGCCGATCTGGGCATCTGCCTAAACCCAAGATACAAGCTTGGTCAACCGTGTATCCACGAATACCTCAAGCGAATACCTGCAGCCGAACCCACAGCTGATTTTGACGGTAGAATCGCTGTGTACGCAATGAAGTACCACGCGCTGCTGTCAATCATGTATTGCTTTAAAGACAAAAGTTTCAGACAGACGCTGAAGAATGAGCTCAAAGAGATCATCGGTAAGGCAGCACAATCGATGCCAGAAGGAGAAGGCGATGCGTCTGCGTAAATGCCGGCCTAACTGGGCATGTCGTTTTGAACTAGGTAGTGAACCACCAAGCATTTCCTACACAATATATCAGCTGGGCCGGTATCTTGAACCACTCAGTGGCGGGGATAAGGCCGAGATGTTCGGATGAAAGGCAATCTCTCCATTTTCAAGTTGACCGCCGTTTCTCTTAACTTGGTTCCGAATACGCTGTGTTAACATAAGATGAGGTGCACGATGACAGTCAATGCTCAGGCCGGGCACGGTCTTGTCTCCACGCCGCTAGTATAGCGGAGACACTTTAGCGAGTGACTAGGCGATGGCCCTCCTGGAACTTTCCGCTGAAAGATTTCTTCTCATCCTTGTTTGAAACGGTTCCTTCTTTCAACTCCATCACATCTACTCGCCCTACGGCTCTTCAAGCTCAACAGCCACCGTCATGTTGGGACAGGCTCTCAAGGCTATTGGCCTCATCTGGATTATCTATTCTGCCTACAGATTCTACGACGCCATTGCCATATGGATTCTTCCTTCTGTGTCACTGAAAAAATATCAGAGGAAGGGCTCATATGAGTCCTGGGCACTCGTTACTGGTGCCTCCGCAGGCATCGGACTGGGATGCGCGCAAGAACTCGCGCTGCAAGGCTTCAATATTGTCTTACTGGGCAACAACGAAGACGAGCTGGAGGACGCCCGCGCTCTCATCGAATCGGAGTGTCTCCGTCGACACAAGGACGAGATCGCCGTCCGCATCCTCAAGGTCGATGCCATCACCAGCACACCCGAAAAGGTGCAAACTGCTGTCGACAACATGGATGACTTGAAGATCACTGTATTGGTCAACAACGTTGGAGGTGTGCCCGCTCGACCGCCGGCGATCTGGCCTCTGCACGACTACACTGCCGAAGAGGTGGACAACACCATCAACCTGAACGCACGATTCATGGCTCAGTTGACCCGGCTTATGCTCCCAGTCCTCGCCAAGAACGGTCCTTCTTTGATGCTCAACGTCAGCTCCGGCGGCAGAATGGGGACGCCTGGCGTGGCTGTGTACTCTGGAACCAAGGGCTTCGTTTCTTCTTTCAGCAACGCTATTGCGAGAGAGATGAGAGCCGAAAAGAAGAAGGTCGATGTGCTTTGCCTCGTGGTTGGCGACGTGAAGACGCAGTCGAATGCTCTTGCCATGGCACCGGGTTCGCCAGACGGCAGGGAGTTCGCCAAGGCTGCCTTAAAGAGAGCAGGCAGAGCAGCTCAAAGGGGCATGCTGGAAATGACGCCTTGGTTCAAGCATGCAATCCAATTGACACTCTTTGATTACACGCCTGAGTGGATGCGGGCGAATTCCATGTCCGAGCTGTTCAAGAAGAAGATTGAGGCTTTTAAGAAGGGGAAATGAAGCTTTTTTCAGCCTGTGTCGCTATTGATTGGTTGGACGGCTGTGGTTAAGCAGCTGAATACGAAGCATCATACTGAGAACGAAGGGATAAGTGGCGTGGGTATAGTAAACAGCTTTTAATTGCCTAGAAAATGATTAAACCGAAGTTCTCAACCTGTAGGCTGCCCTCAGCGTGCATGTTAGATCAGTGGAAGTGGGCTAGTGATCATATCTTGAATTCGATTCTGGCTAATATTCAAGGGTTCGCTAGGAACTTCGGAAGTCGAAGAGACAGGTATGACCCTTTTCCGTTATACGAGTGCCAAGCACAATCGACAGCACTCTATGGATGTGTGAATCAAATTCGAAAGGATTTACCATGCTGCCTTGCGTGTTGTGATATGATCATTGGCTCGTAATTCCTCGAAACTAGGGGCAAAATCCCTCAGAAGACGCTGGGTTGATGATGCCCAAATCAATGAAAGTCTCATAATTCCAGTAATCGCTCTGAGTTCCTTGACCACTGACTGGGTCGGTCCCCGAAAATTTGGCGGTCCAATACGAGCTTCCTTGGGTATACTTGAACCAAGCATTAAGCCCATTGTTCAGATTCTTGGCCCGGCTGGCAAAAGTGTTGTTGCTGAGAGCCTGAATTGACCACTCGCCGACGAAGACGGGAAATTTCCCATCGCTGATAGACCCCTTGGCATCTTCGCAGATGAAAGTAGGTAGGTTTTCAGATGTGGTAGGTCTGCCGGCGAAGTAGTAGTGATGGGAATCGAAAACTAGGTTTGCGTCAGAAGGGAAGTACGGCGACCAGAACGTCTCGGGACGGAAGCTGCCTTGCAGCATGACTGGAATCTTCGGGTTGACTGATGCGACTCGGGAGAGGACGCCGTTGATGAACTTCGCAACCCAAGCAGCACCATTAATGCTAAGTGCATCCGGCGTACCAAACTTGGAGAAGTCACGGTTGTCCACTGGCTCGTTCAGGGGGGTAATGGTGTATGACTGAGGAAACCCGGAGGTTTGGACGTATTGAACGACGGCATCTATGGTGCGGTATGAATATTCCAGGGCAGTTTCATTGTTGAACCACCCGTAGTTGCCGTCCTTCTCTCCAATACCCAGCCCGTTGAGTCCACCTGGTAAGGAGTGAACGTCGACGATGACGTGCATGTTGTACTTCGTGATGGCATACGTCGCAATGTTCTTCAAGAACTGAACTTGATTGCCTGTGTATAGCTGAGAGCCAGGAACCTTGATCCAAGCAGCGTAGTGTGTCGGGATGCGGAGGATGGTGACACCAGCTTTGGCGAGCTTGTCGATGTCTGCGGGCTGGAAGTAGGTTGCATAGCGTCGTTCAAGAACTGGGCCACATTGTGAACCAAGACGAACGCAAAAGCCCCACTCGTCGGTGGTATTGCCGCCGTATTGACCCCAGAATCCAGCGTCTAGGACGGCTTCTTGAACTAGCCATCCACCGAGGTTGACTCCGTTGGCCTTGAAGGTCTTCCAATCAACGTAACTCTGAGTTGGACCAGCGAATGCGCTGACAAGAAAGAGACCTAGGAAGCCTAGGATATTGCAGGTCTTCATCTCGGTGATGATGTCTGGAAAGTGACAAAATTGTGATCAGAGAGGCAGTTTGACTTGGTAAGAAGACGCAGTAGAATTGTTCTGAGGGCTAATTTTTCGAACACTAGTCTTTGGGGCTCAGATGGGGATTAAATAGTGGAAGATAGTGAAGTCTAAGACATCTAAACCCATGGTCATTGGATCAAGTCCCCCGCAAGGAAATAGAAGACGACTGGCATAGACATCCGTAAACCTCTTAGCTCCGTCAGTCTTTAACCCGAGATCTGAAATGACTTCGGTCTTGTAACTTCGTATTACTGGACAATGAGGAGATTCCTCCCCCTCCAAGTGAGGTCTTGAATCACAGCTTACGGTTCTCAATATGCTTACTCTGACCCAGATGCCACACGTGTAAGTGTGCGGGGCCCCGCACGTGGAGAGAGGGCGCATTGGGGGTTACTACCCTCCGCGTTTTTCATGGATTATACGTAGAAGAGGAGATTGGGGTTACACCACCAGGAAAGATCTACACAAGCCAGGGTCATTCCCCCTCTCTTCCGCGGAAAGATGACAACACGATTATGCTTCTCTAGACGACTCGCACACGCCTAGATACTGCGACTTCTGCTTCATGTTAGGCCCTAAATCTACGAGGTGAGCGCAGGAAAGACATATTCACGGAGGCCAAACAACAACCTGTTCAGTCCCAATGTCTTGACGCTTTCGATGTCCGTAGCTTTTTGGAACCTTTCTTTAACATGCACTGAACATGCCACGAACACGTAGCACGTCGCAGGTATGAATCTTGGATTATGGAAGATACATTGCAGAGGTTCCATCGCCCTTCTCATTCGCCAAATGTCCACACAAGGCTGCCAATATTCAACTTGGTAGCGCAAGCCTGGCCAGCGTCCCGGTGGGGGAGTATCCGGTGGGCGCCATCCACTTTCCGTCGTATGGGTTCCACCGGGCGTCTCCATTAGTAGACCTGTAATGCCCCTCGGCAATTACGTTGGTCCTCCAAGATTCGCTTCAGGACGGCTTATGAGGACTTCTCGGGACAATGTCAGAGCGAATGAGACATTGAGAAATGGAAACTCGTCTAGGCGTCCATCGGCGCTTACTCGATTTCAGAGACTGCGTGTTTCAGACTTATGCTAGCTAATATTATAGCCAGAAATTCTGAGGATCTTGGGGTTTCTGCAAAACTAGATTCCGCGTATAGGTCTTTTGTGACTCACGGGAAATGATGCCTGGCAAACTTAGCTTTTGGATGCTGGTGCCAGCTTTGAAATACGTGATCGGCCCATCGTTTCAAACATGTCAAGTCGCGGAGGTCATGGTGATTGTGGATTGCACCCTGACCAACTACGTCCTAATGGTCATTGCTGGATCTATCGTTGTGTCTAAGTGAGTCATTGTTAGTTTAGTGGATCAAGTTGAATGTTTACTATTCAAACTTTGCTTATGTGGCGAGGAGATGCGCAGACGTCTTGTTATCAGATTCATATTTTTCAACCCGATAGCGAAACCCAAGCTTCCAGAATACACATATTAAGTGTGGATGACTTATCAAATTATAAGTAATTCTAATCTACTCCAGAGGCGGGCATGGTTGCTGCCGCACACGAGCCCGTGACAATACCGAGTCAGAGTTTCAACTATCATTTAGACTTCTTTGCAATGGTAGACAGTGTGCACTCTAAGGAGCGACCAGCCTAGAGAAGAACCGATAAATCCGATGGTTTTTTTTTTTTTTTTTTTGCGAGAGTAACCTCAGAAGCCTAGCAAGCTACCTTGGAACGGGTGGTTTACTCTCGGTTCGGCAGTGTTGCATTCGGGGCAAACCCACCAAATTCTATCATCAGTCAGTTCTTGGCACGTGGTGAACATGTATTTCAAGCTGTCGGGCGACGTATGGATAGTCTCTCAATGCCCAGGACAGTTGGGTTTAATGTGACATTGTTGGCAAGTGAGGTCAATGTTAGGCGGCGCTTACGAAGCGGTGTCGTGGTAGCAGAAGGTACTTATGTTAGAAATGTCCACTGCGTGCTGGCAGAATGGCAACTCTGCCGAGTGTAAGTTGCCGCCAATCTGGTCGAATGGTACATGTACGGTGAGTCAGAAAAACGATTTCGCGGAACCACCCCTTCCTGCAAAATCCAATGTTTTTTTGATGAAGGTTTGCTGACATCGCCTCAGCAAAACTGTAGCCGCGTTGCTTTTAGTTGGATTTGCGACGAAATAGATGACGAGGAGCTATCACTAAGTCTCAATTGCCTGCCCAGGAAAGAGCCCGACTGATAGAGGAAATCTGATGGTAAGGTGGGACTCGGCACACTGTCTCGATCCGATCTACAACTTGCTGTACCTCTGCGTACAAGTATTTGGTTTAGCTTGGTAAGGAAGCTGGCTTGAAAACATCACAGCATTGCACTGGCAATAGCACCCCACTTCAACGCAAGCCAGTGGGCATGCAACGATCGTGGTTGCTGGTTTCTTCCCCAACTAACTTTCCGGCTAATTGATAGTACGTTGTGCACCATTTTGCCCAATCTTTTAGTACGCCTCATTGATTTCTTAGAGGCGCAGTCCAAAACACACCATATTGCCCACATTGGAAATTTGTTCTGCCTACGCTTTTGACCCCCGACGCCGGGTTGACTGAAAAGAAAAGTGCCTACACGACAGAGTGATGGGCATTGCGGGGATGCAAGGGTGGGTAACACAAGCTAACATGCGTATGCGCCAATGCTGGTATTAATAATCCAGCCGAAACTTGACCCGCGGTCTATGAGGACTCCGACCACTCAGCAACGTCCAGATCGGCCGGTCGACCTTTCGGTCGAAGCGGGAACAAAGTATATCCACTTTCGCTGTCTACAGGTGGTTGCATATGCAGCGACGTTTTACTCAGCTCACCTCATCTTACTCTTTGTGGACGTGATCTACACATCCCTCGTTCTGTCAGGCCCACGGAGAGGCATGCATGTAGTTGCGGAGTTTTAGGTTTGGTCACACTCTAGCCTTTGTGATGACTACCTTACATATGAGATGAAGTATAAGAACCAGGCTCCCGAAGCCGTCTGCTGAAACACGTTCCAATACAGTTCATCTCAAACTTCACAATGTCTACCTTCGAGGAATACGACGTTGGCTACGCTGACAACAAGACTATTCACTACCTCGCTGCTGGTCCAGTTAATGGACCACTCCTTATATTCGTCCATGGCTGGCCGGCAATTGCACTTGCATGGAAACCCCAGCTTGAGGCGTTCAGCGCTCTAGGTTTCCGGGCCATCGCGCCGGACATGCCCGGATACGGCAAATCGACAGCTCGCAAAGTCATCGAGGATTACTCCCAGCAGAGTATTCTCGAAGGACTGCTAGCACTCCTTGCACACACTGGCCGGAAGGAGGCCGTCTGGATCGGCCATGACTGGGGTTCTCCGTGCGTCTCGACTGTTGCAGCACAGCATCCCGAAGTTGTTAAGGCCCTGGTGAACGTCTGTGTTCCGTATCGCACACTCGACTTGGGACTCAACAAGATCCTGGCCCTCGTCGACCGCCAAATCTATCCCGAAGACCAATATCCCTACGGGCAGTGGGATTACATGCGCCATTACGAGGAAGATTTTGAGAAGGCTATCGCCTGGTACGAGAAGGATATTGAGGGAATTAACAAGGCTTTATGGCAACCGGGCAAGCCAATTTATCCCCCTAAGCCCACATTTACTTCCACTGTCAGAAAGGACGGAGGATGGTTCGGCGGAATCCCACAACCTCCAACCGCAGATCAGATCCCAGCCCCCCTCCTCGAAGGTGAGGTCTTTGATGAGTTCACCAAGGCGATGAAGAAGACAGGATACTGGCCGGGATCAGCTTACTACATGAACCATGGGCGCAACCACCAGTTCAACTCAAAGGCACCAAATGATGGCAAGTTCGAGAAGCCTGCCTTGCTTATCCATGCAGCATTCGACTACGTGTGCGAGACCAAGACCACTCGGCTGGCCGAGCCAATGCGCCAGGCTTGTAGCAACCTCACTGAAGTTACAATTCAAGCTGGACATTGGGCAAACATGGAGAAGCCGGCTGAGACCAGCGCAGCTCTTTCGAGGTTCATCATTGAGGAAGTTCCGGATTACTGGCCTGGGTTCTGGGAAAGCGGGTACGCGAGGCGCCAAAAGTCAGTACTTTGAGTGCGTTGCAACCCAGCTACTTTGAGGCCATGAATTCCTATCATTAAGTTACGTGTATTCGATCAAGTTTGAAAATAGCAAGTACACTCAAATCGCTACAACATGACACTATGTCGATTTCTCATTCGGCTAAAGCGATCGTGGCAATTGTTGAAATAAGAGTGCCGAGCTGTAAAAATATATCGTCAGTAATCAGAATAAGTCATAAAAAAGAGAATAGCAAGAATCTGAGGTTGCAAACTGCGGCCAAGTCTTATGGGACTCTAAAGCCAAACCGTGCTTTTACAAGATTTGCGTGCACACGTAAAGCGTGGTCTTCATTCAGGATCTGGGTATTGTCCTGAGAATTCAGTGTCAAATGTTTATCGCTAGGGGTGACTACATATCACGCAAAGATGGTAAAATGACATTCTGAACACGCTTGGCCATCTCAATGTTGTTCCATTGTGACCTAAGTTGCATCTGATCCACGGTGAGATTGAGCAGCGAGAGGATTTGAGTGGACCGCCAAGACTTTCAAGCTTTTGGCATCTTCTCTCCCTAGGGGTGTGAGAGCATGAATTTTGACGAATCACCCGACTGTTTCTGCCTTGCCTTGACCAATTCCAAAAATGCTTCTTCCGGGCCAACTGAGCCAACCAGAACGTGTTCAGTACCCGAAACAAGTTACTTGTATGTCTCATTGGTAAACGCATCAACGGGCATTCCCATCGATCGACCTTTCTCCTCGCCCATGTAATCATGCAATTCGGCTGGTGGTGTTGTCAGTATTGTCCTGGATAGCTTAAATAGCACTTTTGATGACTGACTTTGCACTAAGGGAGGCCAGATCTCCACGATCTTAGTGCTAGACCCTTGTAGTTGTAGCCTCAGAGAGTAAACAAAGGCATGAAGAGCTGCCTTGGAGGCAGAGTATGCTGGTAAAGTCACTGCCGGAATCAGAGAAAGGTGGGTGCCGGTAATGATCAAACTTGTTAGGGTTGCTTTGCCTTAAAGTCTCGGAAGGAATTTGACCGACATGTCGACAACGCTCAAGAAGTTGACGTTTATCTCCTCCCGAAAGGCATCAAGATCAACACTGCTAGGTTCCGACAACTTGATCTGACTTTGGATTCCTGAGTTGATGAACACACAGTCCAGATCGGGAAACTAATCAACAACCCTGTTCAACTGTTAGTATAGTAAGTCGCTAATGCTTGCCGTATGGAGGCATCAAGTCCGCAAGGCCTTTCTACGCTTCGGGTCAAGTACCCCATTCCGTGGTGGGGGAGGGGGAGGGGGCGGGGGGCTTGTGGGCAGCAATTTTCTGCACTTGGGACTGACCTCTTCACAAAATCATTGAGACCTGCCCTATCTGTAACGTCAAACCGGACAGAGGCTGCCTTGCTTGAGCCGTGATTCTTGACAAATGCATCTAGTCGTTCCTGGCGCCGACCGACAGCGATGACTTTGATGCCGTTTTCGACAAGCTTATCCGCCATTGCTGCTCCAATGCCCGATGTGGCACCTACTAGAAGTACTTGCTTATATGGGAATGACATTTTAGGCAGAGAGTTGAGTTGCTGATTCGAATAGTGAAAACCGTTGAGACGTGGCAAGGTGTCCACTGGGTGAAGTGTAGCTGAATCGCGATCCTTAACAAGTCCTGATGCCTCGTAATGCCAAGCTTTATACTTTGGGATTCAACCTCGCGCCGATGCCTATTGAAACATTGAGATAGATGTTCCCGAATCGCGAGACAGCTTACTCCCGGAGCTAAGGCCAGTGTTTGTGGCTTCGATCGCTGGAGGTTAAACTGTTGGCGGCAGGCGGATTCTTTCATCGGGATTACAGAAATGCATTGCGCCTAAAGCCGAGCGATCAACCTTGTTCTGTCGTTTGGTATGTCCGAGACACGCATCAACACCAATGCTGCTTGTCGTGACCTGGGCTCACAACGAGAAGAACTACGTCAAAGGGGACCGCAAACTGCCGATCGTGCCGAATTTATATGGCTTTCATCTGCTGGCAGCTGGGTTATTTGAAATTTATGTCTATTATCTTGAAAAATCTATGTTTACGGGGGTATATCTGCACCCGCAAAATCGGGGACAAACCGTCTCGCGTCATCATAGTGCAAGCATTCGTTTTATTTCTCGGCAATAATGTACTCCGTGCAAAGGAGCTCGGATCTCAGATCCATCACATCAGCGATAGTCTTGTTGGGGATGATCTCAGCCATCCACAAAACGTGGTTCAGAGTGGTGTCGTTGCCTGCATCACCGTCGTAGTCGAGGTAGGCTGCAGAAGGCGTGAGCCAGCGGTTCTGCTCCATGATGAAGGTAGGAGGGATGAGCTGGCCGCTCATATCAGTGAGGCGCGAAGAGAGGTTCGCGAGTTGCCAGTCCCACCAGAGGCGATCCAAGTTGGCATGGTGCAGGAAGAAGATCGGGTCACCGGGGCTGGCGTTCTGGTTCTCCATCTATTACAGGCGTTAGAAATACAGCCGAAGATTAGAATTACAAGGCCACTTACGGTGCCGCCAGTAGCAAGGTGGCCACAAGAGTGAGGAGAGTCAACGTAGCAGAAGTTGGCCTCGTTGTAGGTCTTCTTCACGTAGCACTCGTCGACGTAGGACTGGTTCGCGAAAGTGAACGCAGTCTGGTTGAACTCGCGAGAGAGGCAGTACTCGTCATAGTAGTCGATACCGTAGACTTGGTCCATGCGAAGGGTCGTGTTGGCGAAAGGGCCATCAATCACGCAGTTGGTGCCTTGGGTGGTGTTGACACCGTTGGTTCCAAAGCTGAACTCGTCAGAGCCCCAAACAGAGGCCTTCTCGACGGTTCCAAAAACCTCAAGATCGCGTTGCTCGTCCCAGTAAGGCAGAGCACCAGTGTACCCGCACTCCTCTTGGATAAGGATTTCATGGAGACGAAGGAAGAGGCGATGCCAAGGAAGGAAGGCTCTGGAGGTGGAATTAGAAACATATATCGAGATAGGCTTTTCAGGAAGCTTACCCAACCCCGTGAATGAAGTTCGACTGTTCGACGTGACAGCTTTGAAGCTCATCCCATCGTGTCTTCGCACCCTTGATGCCCGTCTTGGCGGGTGATTCGAACAAGCATTTGACGGCCTGAAGGTAGTTGGATTTCTCCTGGTTCTCCAAAGTGTGCCTATTTTTTTGTCTTAGTATCTCCATGATAGAAGCTTTTGAAATGTTTAGGTGGTGACTGACCATGCCTTTCTCTGGTTCATAGAACTGCAGGTAGAATTAGAGAACGTTCCGTTGTGACCGTTGTGACCATGGGCGGCGGGAAAGACGGGCGACGCGCTAGCGATGGCAACGGCCGAGGCCAGGCTGAAAAGAGTGGACGACTTCATGTCGATCAGTGAGAGACAGGCAGTTCTAGAAAAGATCTGCAGAAGATTCGACAAGCAATGTGGTGAAGAGCAAAGCCTATTGTTCTCATGCTTTGCAGAAAAGGGAGACAGGTTTCACTTATACTGACAGCACGACCTTGCCAAGACCTCGGGATATCCCTAGATTTGTCCTAAGTTAGGAGCCTAAGGACCCGGAGTGGAAATTTTCGATTTCAAGATTCTTCGAGCTCCGAAGAACAAATATCCACCAGCTACGCAAAAAGTTGCGACGGCCCTACAAATGAAGCCGCGCATGCGGTTTGGGGATCCGCTGACCCCATCGTAAACTTGGCGATGCTTGAGATAAAGATTTGCCCCCCAGCGTCTATTCGTCTCGAGTTGCCCATTCAGTGGATGCCGGACAGGGGTGTCAATGATGCAGCGTTCATCCAAAGGTAAAATCTTAGCATGGAAGTCGACCGAGGCCCGATTTGCCTACCCGTAATCTATGTCTTGTGGGCCATGATGGATACTCAAAAACCTACTGCTTCCCTGACAGCATCCCACCTGGCATCCCACATACCGAGGGTCTGGATCCGTGGATAGAGTGGATGGCTTATTGGACGAATGAAAGCTTCAAGCACAAGACAAGCACATGCCGACTTGCGAATTGGGACGAACATGCACAGCCGTCGCAAGGATAAAAAGGGTTATCGGGTCCGGAATCCCACCATCGGCTTGGGGCAGGTCCGAGACTCCAACCCAGCCGGCGACGGCGACAGCGGTCTTACCAGACCCCCACGTGGCGTAGCTGACGACCAAAACAAAATGGAATCAGTTCCAATGACGATCAAGGACGGAAAAAGCAAGTTCATAGCAAGGGAAACGGCAGTCTGATCCGTGTTGGCAACGGTGTCTATCGGAGGCCGAGTCAGTGCTTGACTCGTTGTCGACAGAAGTAAGAAACAACCAAAGATATCCAACACCGGAGATTTCTTTTCGAAACAAAACTCCGGTCCATGCACGATTCGCCCTTCAATTGAGAAATTCCGAAGGCAGCTCAGGAACTCATGAAGTCCCCAAGATGGCCTTGTGCCAAGGACCACACGTATCAGTAGTCGCGCCGTTGAGAATAAATTGACAATTCTTCCGGAAAATCAGAACGGTTCATTATCGGAAAGTACCTACACGTGTTCTCAGACTTCACATGCATTATGCTATCTTGGTCTTCGAGCCGCAAGTGACGTTGTCTTCACTGGGCTTTTGTTACAAATTTTACAACGCCATGGAATGTGGTAGGGCCAGGTCATCATCACAGCAGTGACATAAACTGGGAACATAGTGGAGAGTGTCGTCATATAAGAGCGAAGGTGCAACTAACTCAACAGCGGCTGCAACCGAATGAAACTATTCCAATAATGCCACGTTCTCAACGTTTACTGACAAAATAGAAACTTCTATGATCAACAGTTCAGTGGGGGCAAACGCCGCCGACCGAAAGTTAGCGAACCTTATCCAAATTTAGGGGCGGACCGTGCTGTTGCACCTCAACTCAGCCGGCAAAGTCTTCCAAAATTGCCAAAAATAGGAAAGTGAAAGGCATCACTTGCTTCATCTTTCGACAATTTAATTGGTCTTTCTTTCTTGCTCATTGTGCGATTCAAACTCAAAAGGATGGATCGCATGTCTATCTTGACTTCATAATGCCTAGGTTGAGGAGGACCCGTGCCGACGCCAGTCTGGCGGCTTCGCCCCCAGTGCTACTCTAATCAAGATTTCACGACATCAACAAACTAGCACATTCGATTTATCTAGTCATATCACCGAGACTCTGATTTGAAAAGTCAGTGCAAGTCTATATAATTCTACTTATGTGCCGTGAAGGTGTCCCCCAATGCCAGATCTTGGTGAGTTATTGTCTAGTCCAGGACAGTAATCAGTTGTCCTAAGGTCTTTCTTCGTCAAGCAGATTTCTGATCAGTCTGAGACAAGTGGGATGGTAAAAGTCTTCATACTTCTTGAACAGCTCCAACGCCAACTCTTCGTCAACTGACAACAAGTCCTTGAATCTGTGACTTGTCAGTACTGGTCTTAACCTGCGCTCTGGTTGAGGCAACTTACAACGGCCTCACAAACTTCATTCGGCCTGTCTGTCCCAGAACATCTTCGGTCTGCTTCAAAACGCTGCGATCGCGCGCTCGGAGCGCGACACGAAGGTATCGCGTAACAATTTCAAGATTGCCAGACTTTCCCACGTCATACAACTTGTCAAGAAGCTTGCAGTAGTGAGGCAGAATTGATCGCGGACTTTCAATGAGTAGATCAAGAAAGACTAAAACTTGTCCCGCTGTCCAACCTTCGACATCGCTACTAGACGGCCTGAACACAGACTGGTCCGAGAGGCTGCCCCATTGATCTGCCAATTCGACAGCCTTCTTGTAAAGCACAGAGCTAAAATCTGGCTTTGGGGGCGCGCCTGGTTTGTGAAACCAAGAATTCCAATCGACGCGGCTCAGGGCAGAGGTAGCAGTAACGTCGGGCGAGAAGAACTTGAGAACACAATCCTTGAATTGTGTTGAGTCAACCGCGGCACCGTAAAATGTTCCGAAATACTTGATTGATGAAGTGTTAGTTTTCAGAGCATAGGCAGCAAAACGGTAAACTTACATGTGGGACAAACTTGAGCCACTTCTCTCGCCCGACTGTCTTTTCAAGGTAGCACAAGAAAGTGTAACCTTTCTCATACGAGATTTTGGACATGATATCGTCCGGCCTCTTGCCTTTGAACTCAAGCACCAGGCTAGTGAAGACGCTGTCGTCGCCGCCATACATCTCAATAGATTGGATAAGGTCCTGCCAGCCAACGATGGCTTGAAGCTCGACCTCATCGTCCCCTCTGAGTTCGCGCACGATGTTCCTCTCAGTCCAGACAGTCCAGCCCTCATTCAGCCAAAAGTGCTCCCATGACGCGTTGGTAACAAGATTACCACTGTAGCTGTGCGCAAACTCGTGCGCGACCACAGAGATATTCTCTCGGTCTCCCGAGACAACAGTGGCGCTGTAAAAGTTGAAGATGGGGTTTTCCATGCCGCCTAGATGGAATGATCTTGGCAACACGACCAGATTGTAAAGTGGCCACGGATACTCGAAGATGAGATTCTACCACGCCGCAAGTCATGTCAGCTGAAGACTTTTACTACTCTGGCTCAGCTACTTACCTCTGCAGACTTGATTATTGCCTGTAAGTCCGGCTGAAACTCCTTTTTGCAAGCTTCCAAGTCACCAGGGGCGCAGTAAACATAGCTTTTCGGTCCAATTTTCTCTCCAGCCAAATTTCTTCCAAGAGCTGTGTAAGTCATGGTATATGTGAGGACTTTTCTCGAAGGACTTACCCGCTTGCTACGGCGAAGAGGTAGTTCGAGATTGGAATCTCCATCTTGAATCTGTAGGTCTTTTGTTCGGTCGTGTCCGTGATTGGTGGGAAGATCAACTCAGACTCAGGAACACCACTCGCTACGACAGGAAGTATTGAATGAATCGTTATGTCGAAAGTGCTTCTGATGGAGGGTGTGTCCTGGCATGGGAAAATGGAGCGGGCATGAACCGGTTCGCACTGGGAGACTATCGAGCATCAGCTGAGACCGACAAGTCGCAATGCAGCCCAACACTCACACATGAAGGGGTATTGTTTATCATCTGTCTGCGAGGGGCTGAACCACTGAAGGCCAGTGGTGTTCTCGGTAGTTTCGAAGTCGACCTTGCCAGCGACTAAATTAGCCAACTCCATCATTGATGATACAGCAGGGTCGACAATTCAACGTACTGTGAGCTCAATCGTTTCCCCTTCTCCATAACGTCGTCCAAGTTCAATGCATAATGAACTGCCATTCTCTCCATCGTCGGGCTTCAATGTCCACACAGCCTTTCCCCCTTGATAGCTTACTCCTTTGATGGCGACATGACTTGTGTCTAGAACAATTTCGGCGAGACCATGAACTCGTGCTTTACCAGTGATTGCAGTTCGACCAATCAAGATCTTACGGTCAAAGTCAATCGTCAAGTCAAGGGCCGTATGCTGGGTCGAAAAGTCTTGAAAATTTGAGCTAGTGTTGACATCTGTGACAACGTTGGTTAGACACATTGTGCAACTGCGAGCGGACGTCGTCCAGGCTTGGGAAGACAAACTTCGCTGCTATTTGTCAGAAAGAGAGAGTGGTAGTAAGGTCTATTTTGATGATTCTTGCAAGCGAATGATGCTAAGTAAGGTACAAATTGGTAGACGTGATTCGGGTGCGTAACTCAATCGTGCCCCGCATTCTTACGTGCCCCTCACCTGTCGTTCAATATTGCCTATTACGGCAATCCGGTGCACCCCGCGGCTAGCTGCAACGCCTACTCGTAGAGACACGATGGCAGGAATTGGCTCGTTCAACTTTACCGTTTGAGGCCATTGTGTACGTAAGTCTAGTTTCAGAATACAGCTCATCGTTATCTCTAGAAGTCATTTACAAATTTTGCTTGCTTTGACGCCAGAAGTTCGTGACCTCTTTCAGATAAGCTCCGTAGAGCTTGATGGCGTTGATGCTGTTGAAAATAGGGTTAGCCCCAATGGAACTCCAGATCTTGGTGCTGCGTATCGACTTACTAGTTGCTCTTGTCCAGCTTCTCGTTAGTGGAATGTTGTCCATCGGTAGGCCTACCTACAGGCATGAGGAGCACGTTCTTTTTCAGGGTCTTCTTGAAATCCAAGGCGATGGGAATGCTGGGCGACGTTAGTGCTAGTCTATCACGCTGGGATTCGACGTAAAGGCTAACCTTCCACCTTCACAGGTCAAAGCAGGGTCAACGCCCCACACGTTCCGTGTTGCCTGAATCGCGGCTTGGTAATTCCAGTGGCTCGCCTCCTCGTAGAACCAATCATTTGGATGACACTCAATTTCGAGGTCGTTCTTGCTTCCTAGGCTCTCGAAACGGTCCTTGATGTGTTTTCGCACCCGCTGGTCAATGTCTTCCCACTTCATGAAGGGCACAGTACGGATGCTGAACTTTCCAACGAGCTTGGCAGGTATTGATGTGACAGCTCCGGCCCCAGGCAGGGCATTCTCTATCCTATGCAGACTGAGAGATGGCTTCTTCCAGCTACGGGGCAGAGATTGAGATTAGCTTGCTGACCTGAGGATGGAATGCGGGTGAACGTACCGAGCGACCAGAGCGTCAGCCTGATTGTCATGGAGGCTTCTGCCCCCTGTGCCACCGTACAAAGAGTCTTCCGAAATGTTCAGCTTTTGGTAGCTTTCATACTCTTCCTTTGTGACAGCTTGGACATTGTCGTAGATTCCGGGTACCAGAATCTGGCCATTCGAATCCACCAAAGAAGACATGATGTTGACCATGTCTGTCATTGGCTCCGAGATCTGACCACCGAACCCACCACTATGGGCATCCACTTTGGCACCGGTGATGGTGACAAGGTAGAAGATGATGCCTCTGAGTCCTTGAGGGACGCTAATCTGCTCGTCGCTCACCCAAACCACATCCGTGATGCAGACCACGTCGACGTCCTTGAAGTACTTGTCTGCTTCATCCTCCAGTCCCTGCCGAAGGCCAAACGACGCGGTCTCTTCCATGCCTTCAAAGCAGAAGACCAAGTTGGCCGGTACGTCTACGTTAACCTTCTGGAAAGCTTCTATCATGTTGATCCAGCCAATAAGAGGACCCTTGTCGTCTGAGGTGCCTCTGCCGCAGATCTTGCTGTCTTCTTCAACCGTCATCACGAATGGCTCGTGCTTCCATCCGTCCTCGATAGACGCAGGCTGAACATCGTAATGGCTGTATACAAGCACTGTTGGCTTTTCGGGGTCGCTGCCATAGCGTCCCAATACCAAAGGAGGAAGGTCAAGGTCTGTGCCCTCCTGCTTGCCCAGGTCTTTGAGTGTCACATCAACACCAACGGCCTTGAGCTTGGTTGCAACCCATTCGCTCATCTGCTTCCACATTAGATGCTGTTATATCTATGACTTGATGGCATATGGCTTATTCGTCTAGCTCACCGCAAACACATCCTTCCTGCTTTCTGCATAAGCAGAGATTGAGGGAATCTTGATGGCATCTCCGAGTCCTGTGCGAAGTCAAAGTCAACTATGGCCATCTCAGTCAAAGCCCAAAAAAAAAACCTGTTTGAACGTACTATCGATGAAAACACTCTCAAGCTCATCAACCCTGTCTTTCAGATTAGCGAGGCGAAGGTGCAAGGGTGTCTCTCATGTTCCACGCACTTTGCATAGAAGCTAGCTAATGCTTCATTGGTATCATTCACCGGGCGTGCCGGGGCGGGAACCATCGTGGCGATAGAGGCGACGTTCTTAGTCAGCAAAGAACGGGCTTTTCGACTACAATCAAGCTTCGTTTAGCACTATCGCCAGCTGCAATAATTGACTCTGGGCGCTAATTTTGGTGTTGAAAGAGGGGAAGTTGGGCTTTCCGAGTCGAGTCTAGTCGCACCGAGACCCACGTCAAGCGAGATCGGATTACGAGTGATGCAGCGTGGGGACCGATACAAAAGTCCACTTCAAAATACTACCGAAAAGGGGAATTGGGAACGAGGGGAGCTGACTTACACCAGATTAGACATTTTCATGAGAAAGGACACGACAAGGTAGGGAAGAATACGACGAGATCTTGCAGTCTTATGCAATAAGTCCCATGCAAAGAATCGTTTTTCCACCAGATGAACTTTCCTTTCTTCCTTGATGTTACTATTCATTTAGGCACACTCAGCTTCACCAAACATGCAGCAGAAACGCAAGATACTTGTTGTTGGCTCACCTCGCGACGTCATATCTAACGAAGTATGGGCAGATTTCAGCTCACGCTATGAAACTCTGATGTACGACTATCCAAAAGTACAGGACTTCTACCAGTCCATGACTTCCGGCACCTGCAAGAACATTGACGGAATCATGCGAATCGGCATCAACACTCCGCCCGACAATGAGAAATTGGGCATGGGCTGGACCAAACGAGCTCTACCACATCTTCCATCATCTCTCAAGATGATTGTCAACTTCGGACACGGTTTCGATGAAGAAGATGTTTCAGGACTCAATGCCCGTGGCATAGACTTCTTCAACACGACGGGCGGGAGCGAGGCGACAGCCGTGGTTGCGGTATATCTAGTCATCTCGGTATTCCGTCAGCTAAATCGCTACGAGCGAATGCTTCGCGAAGACCAGTTCTGGCCGGCCTTGAGGCATTCATCCCAGAACGCAGTTGACCCCTTTGGAAAGAAGATCGGCATTATCGGCATGGGTTCCATTGGCCAAACCGTCGCGAGACAGGCGGCTGCTCTTGGAATGGAGGTCCACTGCATCGATAGGCCTAATCTTCGGAGGATTCTGGAATCTATAGAGCATGAGAATGAGTACGTCAAGGGGCTCTTACCACCGACAATATTCCACAAGGATCTTGAGGGCCTCGTCGCTTCCGTGGACTGCTTGGTTCTGGCATGCTCTTACTCCTCGACGACACATCATCTCTTGTCGAGGGATGTCTTCTCTAGAATGAGGAAAGGAATTCGAATTGTCAACGTGGCCAGGGGTCGTTGTATAGATGAGGAAGCGTTGTGTGATGCCATTGAAAACGGCATCGTTGCCGCGGCTGGACTTGATGTCCACTACAACGAGTGAGATTATAATTCTCCCCTTATTATACCATTTGTGCGAAGCTGACATGCGTAGACCGAACGTCAACCCAAGGTTACTGAAGCACGACTGCGTGACACTTCTGCCTCATCTCGGAGGACTAACGCACGATTCGATGCAGGTAAATGCTTGAGCTGTGCCTGCCACAATACGACCTTTTTCATTTTGCTAATGACAAGACAGAATCATGCTTTGATGGCTTTGAAGTCAGTAGATGACTTCTTTGCCTGTTCGGATTTGACGTAGGACGTTTAAAGGGAGTGGGGTTGGATGACTCATGTAAATGACGTACCTATTAGAAGATTCCAAGGAAAAACCAATCCAGTCGCACGGTTTACACGGCTTTGGGAGCTGGATAGCATTGAATTTGTTTCATATGTGACTTGTAAATGTAGTTCAGATCGGAAGCACCATATGCCATTACAAATGTGCTGCTCATAGTTCTCTTATTCTTTTCTTCCATCAATCATACGCTTCTACTGCTGCCTCGACAAGAGGCTAAGCTCGATCACTAGGTTGATTGACCAAATATATCGTTTCAGAGTCACTGGCTACGCCGCTGCAGACAGTAGGATACATGAATTAAATAGGTGAGGTAAGGATCACACATATAATACGCTTCGCTCTGACGATATTGATAAAAGGGTGTTCTGTCAGCTTTGAGTTCTGAATTCTCTAAGATCTAAGGTAGGTGAGCGAAACAATGCAAACCCTTCTCTAACTGAATCCACACCTTCTCTTTTCGTTTCATCTATGAGACGCTTCTATCGGTGAGGCAGGGAATACGTTTCTGGATTGCTTTTTACTCCTCAGCAACGACGTATCCCCATTCGTGCTCTACCCGGCCGTAGATGATATCCTCCAACCAAGACTTGATCGTGTTGGAGTACGCGGAGCGCGGCGTCTTATACCCCTCCTCAGTAACCATCATGGGGAACTGAATTTCAGTATCGCCATACTTGATCCCCGAGACTGGGGTGATGAACATCTATAGATTACCCGTTAGCCGTGGAAGAGATATTGATAAGCCAGGAAGACACAGGTTAAACTTACCGCAGTGCCAGAAACAAAGGCCTCCACCAGTCGACCTTCTTCAGACGCTTCCACGACCTCGCTCATGGTAAATGGGCGCTCAACAACCTCCAACGGGGCGAGCTCAGTCCCAGCCGTCGATCCTTCCGCCAGCCTCTCTCTCGCAACCTCCAAAACACTCCGTCGAGTGATACCATCAAGGATAACCTCCGTATCCAACGAACTAGTAACAAGCTCAACCCCCTCACCCCCCTTCTTCTTCCACACAACAAAGAAATTACTCGCCCCAGCCTCCGTAACAATCCTCTCCTCCCCAAATAACCACAAAGTCTGCGTACACCCCTGCGCCTTAGCCGCCGCATGCGAAACCATAGCAGGCCCATAATTCGCGCCCACCTTCGCGGACCCGAACCCGCCAGGCCAGGCACGGATATGCTCGGGGCTGCTGGCGAGCAACTTGATGCCCGGGTGCGGTGCATTCGCCGACCCTCCCAAGGACTGCGGGAAGAGCGCGGCGAAGAGGAAAAACAAGGCTTCGGGAGGCTGGTTTATGCCGAGCGCGGAGCCGCTTCCGACCATGGCGGGTCGGACGTAAATGTTTGTGCCGGGGTCCGGGAGCCAGCGGGGGCATTCTGTGCCGAGGAAGGTGGTGATGATGGCGAGGAGGGCGGAGGGATTGAAGGAGGGGAGGCCCACGCGGGCGTTGGACTTGAGGAGGCGGGCGCAGTTGAGGTCTGGGCGGAAGAGGCGGAGTTTGTTGTCGTGGCCTCGATAGGCTTTCATTCCTTCCTGGTGAGGGTGTTAGTTCTGGGGGTTACGTAGCGGGAAGAATTGGACTCACAAATGACTCTGTGGCATAGTGCAGAACGCTTGCTGTTGGCTCGAGGGCGATTTTGCCGTAGGGACTCATCACGGGTGTCCCCCAGCCAGTTTTCATAGACCATGGGACTTGTACCATGTGTGCCGTAGTGCAGTTCTGGCCCAGTCGTACGGGATCGTGGGCATCTGGGACGGGCAATTGGTCTGCCTCGGGGACAAGAGTCTTTAGCATCTTGGTGACGTCCAATTCTGCGTAAGGGCGTCGATTGTCGGGCAGGCCACTCGCTTTTGGCGGTGTCGCTGAAGACGTGCTGATAGCGCTGGGACTCATTTTGCTGTCTTGACTCAATGGTAGGAACGGAGATAAGTATGGATATTATTGAGGTGGACGAAGCTCAAGAGTTCCAGTTACAGGCCGAAAAATCTTTCTTGTCGTTCATCTTACACATTGAGAGTGCGCTTCAACGTTTTATAAGTCCAAACTCCGAGATAAGCGTCTTGTTGACTTGACAGCATCCCTAGCCCGAGCTTAAGCTCAATTGCCATGATGAGAAGACAAGATGACCTGGAAATGATGAATTTGAACCATCAGTAGAAATTACCCAAAACGGCAAATGAGAACGAGCGCGCCAAACCGTCTCCACACCGACCAGCTCCCGATCGGAGGCCCGTCGGCCGGCGCCCGTCATCCCGCAGAAAATTTTAAACAGAAATCCTCGGCGATGGGACCTGCATGTCATCGGATACCGAGCCCACATTCCGAGATCTTTCCATATTCGCGAAATTCCATTCTCATCATTGTCATTGGTGCGCTGGCAATCCACAAGCGCAGGCGTTCCCGATTTCCTATTATGGTATTTCCACAAAGTCAATGCTCCAGCCCCGTTTACACCGCGAATAAATCTCGACTGAAAACTTGTCGGGGTCCGTCTCCTCGTCCTCGCTCGGCGTGGCGTCAGTCTCGAGATCTATTAGTCGAACCTTGATTATCTCCCAGTTGTAGCGCGAGCCGCGACGCGTGTACTCCTGGTCGACGTAATTCAGCACGCGGTGCGCGTGTCGCACGTTCCAGATGCCCTCCCTCTCCCGCGGGAATCCGGCGATCCAATTCTTGACCCAGTCCTTGACCTCCTGCTCCTCCGACATGTGGTAGCAGTTCATCATCGCCGCGACCATGCCGTGGGAGTATGCGTTGACCGCCGCGCAGGAGGCGTAGGGTACGCCTGCTGCCAGGCGGCAGACGAGGAGGACAATTTTCTTGGCTTTGGGGGGTAGTTGGCGCACCGCGCCGGGCAGGTATCTCGTTTCCAAGCGAAGGAGAGACACGAGGTAGTGCATGAAGGTTGTTGCAGCTTTGACGGGCTCCGGGGCATATGGGATGCTGAGGGGTCTGATGGAGATACCGGGCCCTTCTGCGTCTTCGTTGTAAGGGTTTGCGGTGTGCTCATGTAAGGGTGGTACGTCGCAGTCAGGCACTGTCTTCCGCCAGGCTTTCAACTCCTCGATAAGGCCTTCTGCTTGCTCTCGCCAGTGGAGGTCGTGTTGAGGGTTGCTCCTCCACTCTTCCTCCAGCTTAATGACCCGCGGTAGGATGTACAGCAGTCGGTCTGCTGAATGAGGTGAGTTTACTAGAGATCTGCTTAGAGAGTCTGAGACGTCCGGAGACGCTATGCTGTAGCGTACAGAGTATGCCCTGTCAAAGATATCCAGAAGCGCGGCGATCCTAGAAAATGATCGGATAAGCGACTCTCCTACGGGTGAATCCTGCACGCGGTTGAGGTGTTGTGACAAGAAGGTGACCGCAGCCCGGCTATGGATGTACCACAACTTCATCTGGCCTCTCTGTAGTTCAAAGTTTGCCAGCAGCAAAAGAGTCGCCAGCCATGAGATGGCGTTGTCTTGGTTCGGCGGACAGCCCGTAGCGACCCCCTCATCGTCGAGCTGTGCCATGCGCACCGTACCAAGTGCAGTGACGAAGTGATCGAGGGCTTGCAGTGCCGCCTTGCTACCGAGCGCCTCCGTCGGCCTTGCCTGAGAGATATCCAGGGCTGCTAGCGCTAGTGCAGCGTGGAAGAAGGCCTTGTCGAGGTGCTCAGCCTGTAAGATATCATTGAGCGATAAAATTGAAAGGGTGCCGTATGGTGAAGTGTCTGTAAAATGGTGGTAGAACACCATGTCTTCAGCGAACTTAGCGCTCTCCAGCAATCCGACTGGAATCGTTGGCACTGAAGTCAATTGCCGATTCGCTTGTTCTGATTGTGTTTGTCGCAGCAAAGGCGAGTCAATATGTGGGTAGACCGGCGTGGCAGCCGGAGTGGCTACGCTCTGATAAGGTGTGTTCAGCCCATTATCCGGATTGTCTTCATCTTGTCCACAGAGAGCGGAATCATCTTGCATAGTCGTGTCATCAAAAGGCGTATAGAACGAAGGCGTTTCCGTTTGATGCCCACTGGGAGACACCAGCGCATCTTGGTGAATGCCTCCAGATATGAGGGCGAGTGACGTGGCCGCCTCATAGCGGGACAACTCTTGTGAATCGTCGAAAGTTTGATGGCTTTCATCGGCCGATTGAAAAGTTTCATCTTCTGGTGTCACAACATGTTGGCCAACTTGATGCAACTGCGATGTGGGCTCTGCGCCCTCTGGGGCATTTGATGAAGGCGATGGCTCACTGGGAGCTGGCGTTTGTGCCTTTTCTTTGCGTTTTCTCCCGTGTTTCCTCTTCAGCAGATCTGTCTGATCTCGAAACTTGATTGGTGTTGCATAACCGCCGCACTCAAGATTGAGTCTGGTACACTAGATGTTGCCAGAGTCAGAGCCAAACTCGAAAAGACTGGCGAAGCATGGACTTGCGTTGTAACAATGGGGCTTCTTTTCATCGCATTTCAGTCTGCGTGAGCGACAGGTTACGCAGCCTGTGCGATCGCGGGTCGTAACATTGCGCTTTCGGATACCGTGATCAACCATAGACACAAGGCGTATGAATCAAGCGCGAGATATCAAACAATGGCCTCTTATCTGATATGATGCGTGCTATCTCGCTGGCGATGAGGCGTGACAACAAAAGATGCGGATAGGGAGAAGTTGCATGAGGGCAAGTGTCGTTCAAGATTGCCCTTTTAGGGTGCTTGGGTCCCCACAGCACTGTGGAGTCAGGCGACTTCCCGCTAAATCGGACGCCCTCGTCACACTGCACACCTCCATACAGGACCGTCATCGGTGCTGACAAGCTGCGTAGTTGCTGGTTTACATGGATCTCGAGAAGAGCTGTCATAATGTCCGTCAAGTAGTACTAGAGAGGATGAGGCGAAAAGCCTAGGGATTGTCAATTGATCCGGATGATTGACCAATTTGTTTTCAACGATTGCTCGAATCGAGGTCTGAAGCAACATCAGTTCTGGACCCCCGCACACTTGCCCAGTTTAACCAGCCCGGTCGTAGGACTTGGTCACCCCAGGCTCTTCTCTTGACGAAACTGAAGGCATCTGTTTCTGGTTCTTGCTGTTCGCCGTTTCTCAATATCATCGACTGCACTGATGGAGTGCTCCTCATGGCCTAGACGATTTCTCTTCCTATCTCAGAAGCAAGGGAATACCGAAAAAGGGTAGCATTGGCAATCGGTGCTCGAAACCATGGTTGTATCATCGGACGAGGAGACTAAATGGGAGGGATGAGAGAGAAAACAGAGAATGGCCCGCTAGCCGAGATAAGGTAGAGAGAGACCCGTTATCGTCGACAATTCAGACATCGCGGGATGCCCACCCGCCGATACAATCGCAGGCCCGAATAAGCATGATGACAGATGAGCGCAGTTTCATTCGATGAAAACAGACGGACAGGGGCAAGGCAAAGCTTCTACTCGTGAGCCCCGAGATCGACGTGGTCCCCAGTGTCGGCGTCGGAGTCTCGCCTGAAATCGCGGCGCGGGAGCAGCCGCACATCGGGACGAACGGCATCGCGGAGCTTATCGTGGGCAAAAAAGGTGGGCAAGGAGTTCAGGACCAAGAGAGTGTTAGTGAGCGCAAATGTCGTCAAGGGCAGGGCAGAAAAAAAAATCTTCTCAGCTGAAGTGCCCCGTCCCAAGTGCCGAAAACGAGCGATGGAATTGGCGCGCCCTGAGTCTTGTTGGTTCTGGTTCCCGAGAGGTCCGGCGGACATTCCGTCACTGCCTTCAGTTTTGGTGCGTGGCTGCCGTGTTTGGGGAGATAAGGGGACATCGACGTCATTGCGCGCTCACTGATTGATGACTCAGCTCCACACCTCGGCTCCACAGCACCCCTGCCAAGGCAATGGGGAGCTGGCAGGAGCTATGGGAGCAATGACGACGGACAAGAGAGCAAGAGCACCTTCCTGCCGTTTATTATTCCACGGCCAGCCACATTCCTAGCTACTTTCTGTATTCTCTCAGTCGCAGCACAATTTCTTCTTCGGTTCTTTAGGAATATCGTCAGAAAATCTCCACTCTAAAAATGGCATCAAAAACAACACAATCGGAACTCCCGACCTTTACACCGGTCGACTATGGAAAGTTCTTCGGCGCAGGCGCCCTCGCGGCGACCCTCACCCACGGTGTAAGCCACCAATTTTCTTGAGAACGCTCACACGCACCCGAATCACAAATGCTCACGCTCACCACAGGCCGCGACACCAATCGACGTCGTCAAGACGCGCATCCAAGTCGACGACGCAATGAAGGGCCTTAACATGATCAGCGCGGGTCGCACAATCGTCGCAAAAGAAGGCGCATCCGCCCTCCTCACCGGCTTCGGCCCCACCGCCGTCGGCTACCTCGTCCAGGGCGGCGGTAAATTCGCCGGCTACGAGTTCTTCAAGAAGCAATTCATCACACTGGCCGGCGGTCCCGATAAGGCCGTCGACAAGCGCACCGCAATCTACCTCGGCGCCTCCGCCACCGCCGAATTCTTTGCCGATATCCTGCTTTGCCCCCTCGAGGCGACGCGCATCCGTCTCGTTTCCCAGCGCGGGTTCGCAACGGGGCTGGGGTCCGGATTCATGCGCCTCGCGCGCGAGGAAGGGTTCAAAGGGTTCTATTCTGGCTTTGTGCCGCTGCTGTTTAAGCAGGTGCCTTATGCCGTCGGCCAGTTCTCTGTGCATGAGGCTGCTGTCGAGGTGATTTACCGGACTATGGGACCCGAGAGGAAGGCCAAGATGACGCAGCTGCAGTCTACTGGCGTGGAGCTCGCCTCTGGTGTCGTTGCTGGTGTCGCGGCCGCTGTTCTCTCTCACCCCGCCGACACGTTGCTCTCCGCTATCAACAAGGGTGCAGGTGACAAGAATCAGGGCGCCACGAGCCGCATGTTCCAACTTGCCAAGGAGTTTGGTCCCAAGAGGTTGCTTCTCACCGGTCTGGGCCCCCGTATCGTCATGACGTGCGGTCTGGTTGCTGGCCAATTCGTCATTTACGCGCAGTGCAAGACGCTAGTTGGCGCGCCTGCGGGTATCGAGATTCACAAGGAGGAGTCTTTGTAAAAATGAAAGATCTCAAAAGATCTAGAGTGTTAAGAGGATAGACAGACTTTGGGTAGTGGCTGGCGTTTGGGTGCATTGGTTAGGCTGGTTAGAGCGGGTAGATGAGCGTTTGCTTAACTCTTTACACTTCATTAATCACGTTTCGTCAGTTGAAGCTATTTCTTTGCATTTCGTGCCTGTTTCTGCTCTGATGATCGGTAAACGTTTTCTAGAGAGGCACGATGCAACCAGACTTCCCTTGGCCAACCTCTGGAGCTTTCGCTACACACCGCTGGTCATGGGCCGTAAGTCTCGCGTGTTTCGCAAGCAACAGTCGTGATCGTATCCACGGAATGCGCGGATAGCACGGCTTGCGTTTGCATCAATTTTCCTGCGGGACCAGGGTTGATGACTCGAGGGAGAGCAACTGAACATTGCTTGGATCGGCAAGGTATGCCGTTGACCTGCTTAACCTCATATTGTTGTTTACAACAGGCATAAGGTCTGAGGCTATTGTCATACGCAAGATTGGCAGTAGAACAAAGCAAACCCCATGGGTGTCAAATCGACGCGACCTCGCCGCAGGCGAGTGCTCACGCAGGGCAACACGCACCAATTGCATAATGATCAACTTACGAATACGTCTTAATAAAGCTAATATCGTTCTTTGATCTCATCACGTACAACTGAGTGTGTCTCGATAATCCGGGGAACCGTCATTGTGTTACCATGCTCTCATCCGAGAACAGATCGGACGTGCCAGATCTGTAAGTAAGTTTTGATTCCTAGGCTATATTCCACTTTACAGCTCACCACCAAAACGTTGGATTAGTGTCCGCTATTGAACGCTCCTCTAAGGTAACCTCAAGCCAGTGGCTTACCTTGACGGTTGCTATGAACCGGGGCCAAATCTCATTCTCTACCTACCTCAACGGCCTATGAGCCGGGCAATAAGATCTGGCCAACATCTCCAACCTGCAACGTCTTCTCCTCTGCTTCCCTTTCCTGGTTCCATCACACTTTTATATATGAATAGAACACCACTGCCAAGGCCGAGAACGGTGTGATCAAGACGACAAGATGTTCGCCAAACTCCTCTCCCTGCTGGTCATCAGCACAACCCTAGCATCCGCCGCCTCCTACCAACTCCGCACCTTCGCCCCCTCCGAACCAAGCGTCCACGACAAGCTAGTCAACGTCGAAGAAGAACGCTTCTGGATCGGCCTCGAAAGACCAACAACCTGGTGCCCGGATTTCAGCGGAGGCTCCTGCCCACCAGGCAACACCACAGTCGTAGACGGCGTCTTTGGCAGGATGAAGGTTCGGTTTTCCCCCTCTCTACTGTTCTCCTCAGTTACCTCACACTCGATCTGACACTCCCTCCCCTCACAGTCCATGATGTCCCCAGGCCAACTCGTCTACCTCGACCCCTTCGGCGTAATAAGCTACACCGCAGGCGACGCTCTGACATGGAACACCATGCCGCACGGCTCCAACTTCAACTGCTTCGAGGCCGTCGAGATCTGGGACCCGGCGGACGCGACTAAGAAACTCCGCCTCGTGAAATTTATCAACCTCGGCGACCCGGCCGCGTCTGCGCGCCCGTTTTTCTATTCGTGTCCCATCGAGGGCAAGAAGCACTCCTTTGTGAGGGTGCGGTGGACGTCGCAGCATGGGCATCGCGAGTGGGGTGTTGATTGGGACAGTCAGTGTACGGCTATGGAAGGGCTAATTCTTGTGGAGAGTAAGGTTGAGATTGGGGCTTATCAGTATGTTTGATTTGGGGTTTTGCTACGGGAGGGAATAGGGTGGCGGAAAGCGGTACGGGGAGGCACGGCAATGCTTTGAGGACCAGTACCGGGACGTTGATCAGTCGCGACAAGGTTGTCTACACAATCTCAACAAAGTGAAGGAACATATTTTACAACCTCATGTCAGTCTCAACTTTAAGCTATACATACATTGATCCCACAACCTCCTAATCCAGAACAAGCTCAAACTCAAAATCCTTGCTTTTGAGCTCATACTGTGGCAGCGTCGCCGGCCCACAGGACCCCGTCCCGAGACCGTGATGCGCCCAGTCCAGCCTGACGACCGTGTCCTCCCTCTTGCGCTTGTACAGCTCGTACGGGTGCTTGCACTCGTCCAGGTCCTTGGTGGTGTAGTGCATAGCCGAGAACGAGGCGCCTTCCAGATCGCCGTAGCGGGCGCGAATAAGACGCTCAGCGGGCTTACTCTTGTCGACCACGCCCTCTTCATCGGGCAGCTGTCCGCGGAACTCAACCCACCGGACGTCAGTCCTGTTGCCGCCGTCCTGCGGGAACTCGTAGTCCACAAAGAGATTATCAACTGTCTCCTCCCAGTTTCCAAAGGCCTGCGCCATCTTCTTATCCGAGTAGCTCTCGCCGGGGCCACGGCCCCACCACGCGACCTTGTCCACACTCTTGAGGCCGAACGTGAAGCCAATGCGGGCAAACGTATCCGGCACGAGTGGGCCACTGGGCTTGCCCTTGATCTTGATGTAGATGGCCTCACCGTGGAAAGTGTAGGTGGTGTAGATGTCGACGCCCCAAGCGAGGACGGGCGGCGCGATGCGTGAGTGAACGTTCACGACAAGACCGTGCTTCTCCTTGCGCCACTCAACGCGCTTGATGTTGTGGCTCGTCTGGTGCAGTCGGCGGTCCTCCCACTGCTGTCCGAAACGGCCACCACGGTCGTTGTCGGTGAGAGCGCGGTAAAAGTCTACAACGAAGGGTGTGGTTAGGAGTTCGATGTGCGGGTGGGAAGCCTTGCGCCAAGAGGTGAGGGTGCCGAGTTGGAGGTCGAGGCCCCAGGTCGAGAGGCCTGTTGCGGAGGTGATGGAGAGAAGGGAGGGGGAAGTTTGTTGAATGGTGGGAACGGGGTCGAGGAACGGGTTGGAGAGGGAGGAGAGGATCGTGGACATGGAAGGGGCCTTGGAGAGGGCGACTTGGCCAAAGGCAACGCGGTGGCCTTGTTTAGCCCAATTTGTGGCTTTGGTGAGGAAGAAGTCGATGTGGAGGTAGGCTTCGGCGGTGAGGTTCTTTGGAAGGCCCTTGATCTTAAGGTGGGCCTTGGTGTGAGGTTTGATGCCTGTAACGTGTTAGATGAACTGTATAGAAGGGATTGATGACAGGAAAGGAAGGGGCAACAAACCCTTGGGGATTTCGACCTCCTGGTCGCCACCAATAACCATGCCGTCGGCGACGATGTGCCAGGTAGCACTGAGGTGGTCCAAGGACACGATATCGTAGCGGTTGATGATGGTGACTTCGTTGCCCTTGATCTCGAGCGTCTGGACGGGCTCAATGGCCTTGCCGTACTCGACCAGGCCGGGGGTGGGTGTGTGGTTGGCGAAGCATAGGCCGTCAAAGACAAAGTTGTAGTCATTAGGAACGTCGCCAAAGTCACCTCCGTAGCCCATGTACTCCTCACCATCATCGTTTGTGGTGCGCAGACCCTGGGCACTGTTAGTATGTGATCAAAGATGTCAGAAGGGTAACTTACGTGATTGGCCCATTCCCAGACGAAACCTCCCATCAGACGCGGGTACTTGTAAAAGGCGTCAATGTACTCCTTGATGCCACCGGGACCGTTGCCCATGGCGTGGATGTACTCGCAAAGCACGAGCGGCTTGGCCCAGTCCTTCTGCGACGCCGTGTTGACAATCTCTTCGGCAGAGGCGTACATCCTACTATAGATATCCGCCGTCGACGCATTCCAGTCGCCCTCGTAGTGTACAAGACGGGACTTGTCGATACTCTTGATCACATCGTACATGTGCTGGTGGTTCCGCCCGTAAAAGGATTCGTTGCCAAGAGACCACAAGATGACCGAGGCGTGGTTCTTGTCGCGCTGGACCATCTGCCTTGCCCGATCCTCGTAGGCCTCTCTCCAGTCCGGGTTATCTGTGGCCCAGCTCTCGCCCGCGTTGCCGAGGACGCCAAAACCGTGGCACTCAAGGTCAGCCTCATCGAGGATCCAAATACCGAGCTCGTCTGCGAGGTCGTAGAGCCGGGGGTCGTTGATGTAGTGGGAGGTACGGATACCGTTGACGTTGAAGTGCTTCATCAAGAGCAGGTCGCGCTTGAGGAAATCGTAGGGCACCGCGCGGCCAGAGTCCGGGTGGTGTTCGTGGCGGTTTACGCCACGGATCTTGATGGGGTCGCCGTTTACGCTGAAGACCCCCTTGATCAGCTCAGCGCGACGGAAACCCACGCGCTGGACCAGGCTGCACTTCTTGAAGTTGAGAACCAGGGTGTATAGGTAGGGAGTCTCGGCCGTCCACTTGTGCGGGTTCTTGACGCGGACGTCGAAGCTATTGTGCCGGTCAAATATCTTCATGTCCTTGGCGATGAGCTTGCCGTCGGCATTGAGAAGCTTCATATCGACGTAGGCGCCCTGGCTCATCTCGACGTCGACCTTCAACGTGGCATCCCTGTAATCGTCGTCCAGCAATGTGTGAACGTGGTAGTCGATGGGATGGAACTTGGGGAAAGCGTGGAGGTAGACGTCTCTGAATATGCCACTGAGCCACCACTGGTCCTGGTCCTCGAGGTAAGTACCGTCGCATCTCTGATAGACCTCAACGGCGAGAAGGTTGTCCTCGCCGACCTTGACAAAGTCTGTGACGTCGAATTCGCTGGGGTTACGAGCTCCCTGTGAGTATCCGACTTCCTTGCCATTGACCCAGACGGTGAAGGCAGAGTCGATGCCCTCGAAGCGGAGTCTCAGCTGGTGATCCGCAAAGTCGTCACCAACTTTGAAGGTGGTTACATGTCTGCCGCATTCATTGTCATCGTAGGGAATGTTGGGTGCATCGACGGGCCAGGGAAAGTTGAGATTGGTATATTGAGGACCCTTGCCGTAGCCCTGGCATTGCCACATGCCGGGTACGACGATGTCGTCCCACTCTGAGGTGTCATAGTCGGTCTTGTAAAAGTCCCGAGGTTCGTGGAAAGGCGATGTGGTCAGGTGGAATTTCCATTTTCCGGAAAGAAGGA